ATATATTTTTTACTTATACATAGAAAACACCCAGACACATACTCATAAATACAAATGTTTGCATCGTGCGAGGAATCGCACCCGCGACCGTCGGAAGTAAAGCGGTGTGCTAAACAGCTAGACCACCGAGGCCGTCAAGTAACTGAGACGAAGTTAAGCGAGTCAGCTAGTAATGTATAAATGATTTAGTTCAGGCATAACAGCAATGGGATATTAAATGATTTAATATGTAAATAATCTAGCTAAACAAGTTCTCCTACAAGAAGCTATAATGTGAAGCCTATAAATTAAACCAACCAGTTGACTATACATCGATTCTACACTGCTTTTGAATAAGATCATAATTATACATATATTTTTTTTTTCTTAATGTTATATCAAATATCGAACGAGATCTAATTAGGGTCCATTCATTACATTACATTATACCAATTTTTGTAAATTTTTCTTAAGGCAATTGACGATTTTATAGCAATTTGCACTAGGAACAAATAACTGTTTTTTTTTACATTTGCGAGGGTGCTACTTATAAGCCCACCCTCAGAATCACAGCTAAAATTCACTAGGCTTTACAATTACAACAATTATTTAAAAGAGCAACGCGCAAGATTCTTGCTCGTTCTTCTTGTGATGAGATAGTTTTTCCGAATAAGCGGTAGATTAAAAAAAAGATAAGTTATGCACCGGCTGAAGCGTAGCAACGCGAGAGTTTGCGGACTCAACTTAGTTTCCCAGTTTCAGCTTATTTTAAAACTATTGTAATAGTTTTTAAAAAAAGCGTGACAAAATTTTGACATTACTTATTTAATTTTTATCTAATACCGTTGGCCGCAGCTGGCCTTTACAGCTTTACTAAACGTATGCAGATGGTATTTTTTTTTGAGGGTTGATAATGGAATGGTGCACCCGTCTGCGCTAACGGTTTACGCTGGCGGGGCACCAGTGGATGATGACAAGATGAGCATGAGGTCAGGTCAGTTGCAGATGGTATTCCAAACCCGCGGATTTATGAAGAGCCTGAAGGCTAACTCCTGAGTGACAGATACGACTTTAGTCTGAGAACACCGCAAGGGGTTCGAACCTCGGTTCATTCCGTCGTAATTTCGAACTCCGTTTGAATTGAACGGGGGATCGATCGCAGGGGGTCAGTTACTCTACTGCACATCTATATTAATAATTCCGTCTAGGGGTACGGTAGACTTGAACGAAACCTTATGTGAATAACAAAACATAAAAAAATATTGATTTCGAGTCGACAACATATATCCGCAAAATTCGGATTATGGAGTATTTCGTTAAATTCTAATTACAAACACTGACAAACAAACTGCAGTCGCCATATTTTCATGTCACTAGCTAACAACCAATCAACACTATGCGTGCGTTCGCGCCAAAGATCCATCACAAAGAACTGTGATATATGACATGTGTCGTTGACGTTTCGCGAAAATATAGTTTTTGACACTTTTTTATGATAAAAGAGTATACAGTTATGTGTTTTTTCTTTAAATTAGCCAATTGCGAGACAAATTTGACCGGCTCTGGATACAAGTCCTTTTTAGCCCATCCAACTTGTATCCAGAGCCGTGAAACAAATTAGTAAAAAAATATTGTTTTATAAAGTTATATAAAGTTGACTTAAACCGATGACTACAGAAATATCTACCCGGGCGAAGCGAAGCCTGGTTTTCATCTAGTGCAGATAATAATTACGTACATGGACTGTAGCAATTATGGCGCATAATATGAATTTTTAAATCCGACGCCATATAATGGGCTTTGTTAGTTTAATAAGTTGTTTTGATGTAGTATTTACTGTCGGACATGATACATTTATATCTACAACACAGACAATTTCATTTTCAACAATAATGATGTAGTGGTCGTATAGCTAGCTGTTTAATAATAATGTTAATAATAAGCTACAAAGCGTAAAAACCAGCAAAAACTGACGCAAATAATAATAATCTTAATAATATTATAAACGCGAAAGTAAGTACTGAACAGATTTTGGTAAAACTTTACAGTAATATAGCTTATATATCAGAATAACACATGGGCTATATTTTTGATTAAAGTTTATATCTTGAAATTTAATGCGGGTTAAACCGCGGGCAGAGCTAGTAATTATCTCGGTTCGGAAGACGTCCACTGCAGAACAATGGTCTCCCCCAAAGATCTCCACGACGATCGGTCCTGAGCTGCTAGTAATATGTTTATTGTATAACGGCCAATTTGTTAATAATAATTTCTCTAATCTATTGTTAGTATAGATTGTTATCTAATAGTAAACAATTTTAAGCCGTTTCGTGTAAGTTTTCTTACAAACACTTTGACGCGAGTTTTATATATTAGAAGTTTTCTAATGTCCTAGTTGAGATAAAGAATAAAGTGTACAACTATTAAAATCAAATTTCCGTTGTTACAACTCCTTACTGCTTGTTAAAAATGCATTACTATTCATAAATAACACTTAATCAATACCTAATAATAACTATTTACAAACAAAACTAGATCATGGCCCAGTTATTTTAATGCGCCGACTTGTAGACCTCAAAGACCGTGAGATCGAATCTGTACAATTACTAAAAACGTAGATATGGAATTTCTAAGTTTCCAATGATGGAAAGTACCAAGTTATTAAACCAAAATAAAAAAAATAGAGACTTTCCGACAATATTAAATTTATCAATAATAGATATTATTAACTATTAATCTAGGAAAATCTATATGTGTAACAAATTTCACTTGAATCGGTTTAATAGTTTTTGGCTGAAAGAGTAATAAAAATTGAAACATTTCTGTTACAATTTCTACTAATACTAGCTTCTATACGTAACATTCAGAAATAGAAATAGAAATAATCTTTATTCAAATAAACTCATTACAAGCACTTTTGAATAGTCATATTTTGTTTCTACCACTCATTCGGAATGCAGATTCATCATAAGAAGAATGAGCAAGAAACTTGTGTTGCTCTTTTGAATATATGTTTTTTTATATAATAATTACAGTATAACAAGTAAGAGGCATGCGATAATAAACATAGAAATCGTTACGCACACATTACGCATATGCACGCATTTACTTTTTTAGAAATAATCTTTACATAGTGTAAAAGAAAGTCACCGCCGCTGTCTATTCGCTTATATCTTTGAGATTACGCAACGGATTTTAATGCAGTTTTCAGCAATAGATAGAGTGATTCAAGAGGACGCTTTATATATATAATACATGCGTATAGTATATAACAAGCCGAGAAATTCAGATTTGTAATGAATCCGTGCGAAAGCAAGATGTTCGCTAATATCCTATAAAAACTACTTTATGAGCAGCCATATTCCGTGGTCCTTTCCCGCGTAATTTTATTAAAAAAAGTATTTGTAGATATATATGAAAATACAATAAACTCAAAAGTCAGTCTCACACTTGCCTTTCCGCGACGGGACAAATGTAGCTTATCTTTTATATCAAAATTGCATCCGAAGTCGCGAGTATTATCAAGTATAGCAAGGCTGCTCATGATATAATCTATATTCATTTCAAATTTCAGTAAGTTCCTTTCAGTCGTGAAAGACAACAAACAGATATCGATGACCTCGGTGGTCTAGCGGTTTAATATACCTCCTTACCGATGTCCGCAGGTTCGATTCCACGCACGATACTAACATTTATATTCATAACTTTTTGTATTGGTTTGGGTGCTGTCAGTGGTCTTGTACTACACAAGCTCTGCTTAGCTTGGGACTAGATGGCGCTGTGTAAATAGTCCAGGGTTATTTATTACCATTACATAGTATAAAATAAAGTCGCTGTCGCTGTCTGTCCGTCCCTATGCATGTTTAAATCTTTAAAACTATGCAACGGATTTTGAAACGGTTTTATTAATAGATAGAGTGATTCGAGAGGAAGGTTGATATATATAAAAAATGTACACCTGTGCGATGCCGGGGCAAGTAACTAGTTATTACTATAAAAAGACAAACATATCAATTTATAATATTAGTGTTAGTATGCTCGTCACTAGTAAATTCAACTAAATTTAATCTTACATCGTGTATTGATACTCGGAATTACAGCCTGTTTTACACTTGTATCTTTCTCCTTTCGGCTCTTTCCTCTTACATTTCTGACAAGTATTACACTTATTACACGCTTCGCTGACTTCTGATGGAGCCCATCCCGAGAGAATCTCGTAGGGTACGCTAACTTATAATGAAATAAATAAATAAACCCACACAACTGACGTGCCGCCATCTTTTTTTATGTAAATGATATGGTAATATAGTATAGTGATAACAATCGCCTATAGTAGGGTAGAGAATTATTAGTAATATTGATTAATGATTGTGGGAATATGGGGCTAGCAATGTACCATGTCGGTCGACCTCCACGCGGTTTCCCCTGGAAACCTAACTGACCAGACTTCATGATCATTTTTTTATCATCTACTGATGCTCCATCAGAGTTAACCGTTAGCGCAGGCGGGTTTCATTCCATTACCATCCATAAAAAAAAATGAAAACTGTCACTAATAGGGGGAGTGTTTAACAATGTGGACTAATAACCCCATTGCTAACAATATACCATATTAAGTTGACCTCCACGTGGTACCCCCTGAAAAACATCGTGATAAATTTATGGTGAATTTACCACAACTAACTGACCTGACCTCATGTTCATCTTATTATCCTCCACTAGTGCCCCGCCAGCGTAAACCGTTAGCGCAGGCTGGTGCACCATATTATTATCATCCATAAGAAACAGTAGCCTGTAAAGGGATTGCTAGCAATGGGATCATTAGTCCACAATGTGGATTACATTAGTTAGGTTGGCCTACACGCAGTTCCCTTGGGAACCATCATGACAAATTTACCAGGAATGTATCATAATGTTGCAGTTCATCCATAATCTACGTGTACGGGAGGAAGCTCCTCTGAAACCGCACTGTACGAGACAACTTAGGTGCGGGGATGAATTCCCTGTCGATGGGTACTTACCATAGAGATCTGGTTGGTCCACTCGCTGTGGTAACGCCAGGAGTTGGTCGCGTTGTCCCACACGTGCAGTCTGGACGGAAACCCCACTATACGGTCGGGGAACTCGCGCCACACGTCGAAACTGACAACAAAAAATATATCTTAAAAAAAACATCGATTGTCCATGTTTTTTTTATAGACAACTAGCTGTGCCCCGCGGTTACACCCGGGTTAAATTTCAATATAAAATATAACCTATGTGTTATTCTGATACATAAGCTAAATTACTGTAAAGTTTAATTAAAATCCGTTCAGTAGTTTTTGCGTGAAAGAATAACAAACATCCATACTTACAAACTTTCGCGTTTATATGTATACTAAGAATAAAATGTATACTGAGCTTGACGATCGTAAAATAATAGTAATACATCCATAAGCGGCTAAAATGTGCTACAAGAATAAACATTTTTTTATTTTATTTCATAAACCCATAAGTGGCTAAAATGTCCTACACGAATATATAATTTTTGATTTGATTTGATTTGATAAACCTTGCACCACGGCCGTTAAAACACACTCAATCAAGACTGAACACGAGAGAATTTTATGAGATTAATATTTATGACCAGTATAGCCTCGTGGTATGGGGGACGATTTATTTCAGTCTAAAACATTTAACGGACATTGGTTTAACTGGAGAAGGGTTAACAAGAGTGGACAGCGCTCTGAAATAAATGGAGTGACGGATGGCCGGGGCACAAGCTATAGCTGTACACACAGTACTGTCATTAACGCAAATACTAAATTAACTTTGGTAGTAACTAATTATACTATAATAATAAGAATCTTGAACAATTGACACAGCGCCATGTAGTTCGTAGTTGAGCAAAACTTGACAACTGATAGAAATAATATTACAACATTTAAAAATATATAATAACTAACTGCCCCCGCGGTTTCACCCGCGAGTTTATAGCCTATGTACTAATCTAATATATACTCCATTACTGGCAAGTTTCATAATATTAAATAGCAATCGCCCCGGCTTCGCACGGGTGTATACACTATACATATAAACCTTTCTCTAGGATCAGACAGCGACAGAGACTTTACTTTATACTATGTAATGATGATGCCAGAGAAAGTTACCTATTCCACTAGTCTTATATATAAAATTCTCGTGTCACAGTTTTCGCTCCCATACTCCTCCGAAACGGCTTGACCGATTCTCATGAAATTTTGTGAGCGTATTGAGCAGGTCTAAGAATCGGCCAACATCTATTTTTCATCCCCCAAATGTTAGGGGTAGTCCAACCCTAAATATTTTTTTTATGTTTTAGACAAAATTTTTAGTTTCTATATTTTTATGATACAACATATAAAAATACATACAATCCTAAATTATCACCCTTCTATCATCAACCCCTATTTTTTTATAGCGTTATTAATTTATATGGCAAAGCAAAGTTTGTCGGGACAGCTAGTAAATATATAGAAATATGTAGTTTGCAACATAACTATAGTTTTACGAGCGCCACTTATAAAACAGCTGAATCTATCTTTTCATTAACGATATTCGTTAACGATAATAATGTTTTTGTAGAAAAATTTTAAATATTAGCACTGACAATATTATCTGATTACACTAATAATGAGTGCGTAGCGATTTCTATGTTGATTGTCGCATGCCTCTTACTTGTTACACTGTAATTATTTATATAAAAAAAACATCTATTAAAAAGAGCAACACACAAGTTTCTTGCTCATTCTTCTTGTGATGAATCTGCATTCCGAATGAGTGGTAGAATCAAAATATGACTATTCAAAAGTGCTTGTAATGAGTTTATTTGAATAAAGATTATTTCTATTTCTATTTCTATTTCATATTATAAAATGACGTCGCGTCCGCTGTCTGTTCGCTTAGATCATTTTGCCGCAACGGATTTTAATGCCGTTTTTTGCAATCGATAGTGATTCAAGAGTCTATTTCTATGTATAATACAAGTGTTAGAATTCACATCATTATTGTAGAAAAAATCCGATATTTTAAAAATATATTAAAAGAAGGTAGTTTGTTTTTAGTACTAATGAAGTACCCAATGTAAGGATTATTACGAATATTGTAAATAGCGCCATCTAGTATTTATAGACCAACCTACTACACTGACTTTGGTCTATAAATACGGAGGTCGGTAGTTGAATAAATCCTCTTTCGTTTGGTGAGCCGCGGCATTCAGTCGACGAGCGCAGAGCGTGCCGGTTGTGTTTTGGATACTAAAGTGAATTGTATTAGCAATGGGTTTATCCCGGTCTTAGTTGGGCCTGGGGGGAAGCTGCAAGTAGTGAAGGTGAGTGTTAATGCATTCTAAAAGGGCCTTTTAAACCTACACCCGTGTCACAAGTCACGGGCGCTACTTGGGGTTTCCCTTGCGGTAGCCGGCTTCAAAGCCTCAGTCGTCCAACATAATTAGCGCTTCTTACACAAATACACCCGTGCGAAGCCAGGTCGGGTAGCTTGTGTAACAAATATATGTCGTGAAATGTATAATACATGTACACCTGTACAAAACCGGGGAAAGTAGCTAGTATATACAAATATGCGTCGTAAAGAGAGATAAGACTATATACTGGCTGCTATACATCTATAAATAGCTATATACCAGCATTAATTGAATATATGAATAATTCATATTCTATAGAAATGAAATATTAGGTTATAATTAAATTTACATAGCTAGTATAGTTCAATTTGTCGAGTATTACGCTGTGATATTTACTGGGTGGTGGCGTATTGTTACTTCTATTTATGGACGACTAATGCCCTACCTCGGATTCACACGGTTATAAATTTTATATGATATATTTACACATGTAACGTTCCGGAAGTAATTCACGAAATGTTATTGGTAACGTTATCAAAATCAGTTTTGTAGTTTAGAAGTAATAAGTAAACACAAAATTACAAAAAAACATCGTGCGAAGCTCTGTCGCCCCGGTACTCGGTAGCGTGGTATCTCAACATGTCTCACTACGTGACACGTATCACAGATTCACATGTTATTTGACGTATGCGATGGATATTGATACAATTATGGGAGGTGTACAATTTCGGTTCGATGCACACAGCAATACGTACCGTTGATACGCTACTTGAATAAAAAGTTTGCTCAGTTTTCTATGAACGTGTAATATATTTATGTATAAACTAGCTGTCCGGCAAACGTTGTTTTGCCATAGAATAGAATAGAAAATCATTTATTCAAATAAACTTAATTTAAGCACTTTTGAATAGTCATAACAATTTGTTTTTTATCTACCACTCGTTCGGAAAGCTGTCTCATCACAAGAAGAACGAGCAAGAAACTTGTGTGTCTTTTAAATAATCCTTGTAAGTTTACATTTACAAGTCGAAACGTGTGAATACAAACTACCAACAAGCACTAATTTTTTGGGTCAAATATAATCATGCAATAAGATTAAATCAGTCGTAGTGATAAGAGCAGACCAGTCCCTAGCAGAGCACTCGTTCACGAGTATGACGAATGAGCCAGCCATCACTGCGCTCGACCATATTTTAGGGAGCCCATTGACCCGGCCCACCACGCCGCCACATGTCTGGACATTTTAGTGAGCATGACTACTCATTCCACACGACCACGTCACAGCTACAAAAATTACTATATGGTAGTTACAGTATTCGCACTTTACATAAGGATGCATATAAATTAATAACGCTATAAAAAAATAGGGGTTCATGATAGAAGGGTGAAAATTTAGGATTGTATGTATTTTTGTATGTTTTATCATAAAAAAATAGAAACTAAAAATTTTGTCTAAAAAATAAAAAATAAATTTTTGGGTTGGACTACCCCTAACATTTAGGGGGATGAAAAATAGATGTTGGCCGATTCTCACCTACTCAATACGCTCACAAAATTTCATGAGAATCGGTTAAGCCGTTTCGGAGGAGTATGGGAACGAAAACTGTGACACGAGAATTTTATATATAAGAATATATTACACGTTCATAGAAAACTTAGCAAACTTTTTATTCAGCTATTTAGCTATAGTGATAAAGATCAGAGCAGATTCGACTTTGTCTGTAATTAGAACTATATTAATATTTTTGTTTTGTTATGATTTGACTACATGAATAAACATATTTCCTTTGATTTGATATGTACATATGTATACCCTATTTCTATGTACCTCATATGACGTATATTGATACAATTACTGGAGGTGTACAAGACATAAAACATTTGGTTTGATGCACACAGCAATACGTAGTTGCTAAGTTACTTGAATAAAATTTTTGCTGAGTTTTTTATGAATGTGTAATGGGCATTTCTTCATTTTAGGTACAGCGAAAAAAGATCAGATATATTCTTTGACTATTTTACTTTAAAATCGACATATTTTATATTACCCCCTTAAGGGTAACATTTTTACAAAATTTTATGGCCTATTATTTCTATTCAATCAACAGCCTCAAAAATCAGTTTCTAGATTCAAAAATGACAAATTTACATAAAAACTTTCTTCCCCTATTTTATTTTATCCCCTAAGGGTAAAATTTTTACAAACTTAGTATGTCATATTTAATCAACAGCCTCGAAAATAAGTTTCAAGCTTCTAGCTTCAAAAATGACGATTCTTCCATACAATCTTTCATCCCCAATTTCAACCCCTTACAACCCTTTTTTCGCATTAAAAAGTAGCCTATGTCCTTTCTCAGGATCTAGACTATCTGTGTACCAAATTTCATTTAAATCGGTTCAGTAGTTTTGGCGCGAAAGCAAGACAGACAGACAGACAGAGTTACTTTCGCATTTATAATATTAAGTAAGGATATATACTAAAATCTTATATGATGTATGTATATTGATAAAATTATTGGAGGTATACAAGATCTATAAAATATTCGGCTTAATGCACATAACAGTATTGTTACCAATATTGGTACCGATACGCGACGTGAATAATATTTGCAATTTTCTATGGATGTGTAATATCGGATTCTTCATTTTAGAGATTCTAGAGAGAGACAGAGGATTTATTAATGTTAATTTGACTTTAAGTGTCTATAAACAGATATAGAATAGATAGTAAAGAGATGTTTCATTTGATTTGATATGTATGTATGTAAACCTTCCTCTTCAATCACTCTGTCTATTGCTAAAAACAGCATTAAAATCTGCTGCGTAATTTAAAAGATATAAGCGAGCAGACAGCAGCGGGATTTTTTTATACTATGTAAAATAAATAATAAAAAAAATATATCGAACTTAAAAATCTTTCGCGTATAGATAGTTATATCTGCGATTAACACTATGGGATTAGTGATCCTATAGTAAAATGTACAGTACAATGTACCATAATGTGTTCTTCAAAGACCCATTCCATCCATGGAAACCACCACAATGAATTCCTGGAGCATTCTCTTCGACCAACCAAAAAAATGGATCCTTTATAATATATTCATAAATTGCCGTCCATGAAAATCTCTACCACTACGACAAAAATGAAGGCCCCACTAGTACCGACCACAAAAAAATCTCGTACTTGTCTTAACGCTACGAAAAAAATAATGACTTTCTGGTACCTCGTACCCACCACAAAAAAATCTCGAACATCTGTACAAAGTTTTACTTTGTTACGTACGGTTGGCATTCACAATTATTACGGTATGAAAGAATTTATTATTCTCATTATATTACACACAATAATTCGCACGTGTGAAACTACAAGCGAAGACAGCACAGTAGTCTAAACAATTAGATCATTGACTTTTTAGATTCTAACAAATCTACGGCTTGTATTCACTGTTAAGAGTCAAATCTAATCTCGTATTATAAATATTTGATTTTATTCATCATCATCATTTCAGCCTGGAAGACGTCCACTGATGAATAAAGTTCCCCCAAAGATCACGACGACCGGTCCTGCGCTGCTCGCATCCAACGCCTTCCAGCGATATTGACCAATCGTCGGTCCACCTTGCTGGAGGGCTTCCCACGCTGCGTGTTCCGGTCCGCGGTCGCCACTTGAGGACTTTATTTGATTACACACCAATTGAAAAAATTACACCGACTTGATTTTATTACTACTTACTAATAGACAAAAGATAATACCAAGTTTTATCGCGAATAATTTTATAGTAAATACTAGCTGTTCCGGCAAACGTTGTTTTGCCTTAAAATAAAAAAAAATTAGGAGTGGACTACCCCTAACATTTAGGGAGATGAAAAATAGATTCTCAGACCTCAATACGCTCACAAAATTTCATGAGAATCGGTCAAGTCGTTTCGGAGGAGTATGGGAACGAACACTGTGACACGAGAATTTTATATATAAGATTTACCTCTCTCGAGGTCGGGTCATTGGGCTCCCTAAAATATGATCGAGCGCAGTGACGACTGGCTCACTGATCTGACTCATCTGGTCTAATCACTACAACTGATTTATTTTATCGTGTATTTAATATTTGACCGTAATAAATTATTGCTAGTTGGTAGTCTGTATTCACACAATTCGACTTAAAAATGTAAAGTTACAACTATTATTTAAAAGAGCAACACGTCCCAGTTTCTCGCTCGTTCTTCTTGTGATGAGACAATATTCCGAATGAGCGGTACTTTAATAGAACTGTCACAATTAAATAGTGCTTAAATTAAGTTTATATGAATAAAGGATTTTGTATATTATTCGACATTTCGACTAGGTTGCACTAGCCGTGGTTACGAGCTGACTGGAGTATACATCGATAAAGATAAATACTTATACCATATAATTATTCATGTGAAGTCCCGTTTATTAAAATAAATAAAGAGCAGGAAAATATAATAATAAATATTACAAAGGCTATTTTCAATTATGGTATTTAACATACATAATACTTTATTATTAAGAATTAATAAACAATAACATTTTTATGTACGATTTATATATCAAATAGAAACATTTCTTTCGTTTTGTTTGTAATGGAATAACGTAATAAAATCTTAAAAATATCGAATTTATAATTATTTAAATTACAGAAAGCTACATTCCCTACATAAACTGAGTAACACGGTTGTACATTACTAAAAAAACATTGAGTTTTATTATAAATTATAATAATAAAATACGCACGAACCAAGGTCTAGGAAAATGAATTGGCATCACCTTAAAACCTTAAAGATAAGTGAAGTTTCGAACATTCCAGAATCAATCCATCAGTGATTGATGTATTTGTAAATGACAGCGACAAAGTACTTTCAGCAAACTTAACCGTCTACAGCTGTGGAGTAAATCATGTCATATCGAATAAGACATAAAGTTCTTTTTATTTAACTTCAATGCCGCGAGATGGAACTGTTGTATATTAAGGTATATTAGTGTTTCTTCAAATAGCAGACTCCATTCCCGCAAATGTTGTTATTTTTAGAAATAAAAATAATACCATAGGCTGTTTTCACAAAATTAAAAAAATCTTTAATTGGAAATTAAAAAGCAAAATTTAAATCAGTTATTAATTTTTAGAAATTTTAGAGGTTATCCTCGTGAGCGTACACAGACTTCAAATTGTAAAAATAAAAAGAAAACTATTATTTATAAAAAAAAAAAATTGTTATTATTATTTTAAAAAATAATAATAATGTAATGTTAATAATAAATATAATGTTCCAAATTCAAAATTTGTCTCGAAAATGCTATGTTATTACAATTTCATTTAAAGTTTTGGACTGTTCTAAATTCAAATTTCTACCATCTGCGTTGATGTGCCGAAGAATATTTGGTAGAATAGAATAGAAATAAGAAATGTTGAGCATTCGTACCAAATATTTTTACACAAATCCATCACTTTCATTTTCGTGAAGAAATTGAGATACATATCTACATGTCAATTAAACGTGAAGTATCATTGCGATTTCGCATTTACTTCGTGTAAAGCTAGTAGTTAAAAAAAAGAAATTCTGAAATTGATAAAGGCGATATTCACGTATCACTTTCTGGTAGAATTTCATGATAAAAACTAAATTCATTCGTTTCTACACGCTTAACTAAAAAAGAGTAATATTTAGAAGCATATGTACTACGTACATACGAAAGTAAGTACGTTCATATCTTTTTATAATTCTGACTGTTGGTTGAACATTCATTTCAATATAATGAATGAAAATTCTTTATTGTTCTCTCTTAGTATACAAACAAACATTTATATGTATATTATTAATATATAAGTAAGTATAAATATGTATAAACATACAACATTCTCAAAGGGAAGAGGCAACATTGGGCGGTATAATGTAAAATGTATTTTATTTTTTCATTTTTCAGATCACCAACAAGGTTTAACTTTACACTAACACAATTACATGACATATATTTAATATACTATGCGCAACCTTATAGGTAACTATACGGTAGGGAAAAAAAATCTAATGTAAAAACTTGACGTTCATAAGCGGCTAAAATGTCCTACATGAATAAATGATTTTTGAATTTGAATTTTGAATTTTATTTATATAAAAAATTAATATATTTTTTTTTTAATACTTTTATAAGTATATTTCATAACTTAATGGATTTATATTATTAAGCGTAGTTGACTGAGTCGCAGTTTGGTCAGCGAACAGTCAACACTAGGCTTATCTATATCGGAACTCTATTCAATGCCTGATGATACCTCGTTCAGAGGCGAAACACGAATTGCAGTATGGGTGTTAGAATTATAGGAATTTGATCACCAATTATCTATGAGAACAAAACAAGGTTCTAGGTTATTTAATACAATATCTCAGGACAGCGCCATCTAGTCTCAAGCTAAGCAGAGCTTCTGTTATGAGTAATGAACAACAGATGTAAATACATAGATCTTTTTTTGTAAATACATACATAATATATATAGAAAACCCCCAGACCGATATAAACAATCATATTCACAATACAAATATTCCAAGCGAGGAATCGAAACCGCGACTGACGGGAGTAAATCTATGTGCTAAACATATAGACTACCGAGGTTAAAAGTAGTCGTAAAAACTCACCCAAACTCCAACTTGTTAGGCGTTAACATGACTTATCATCATGGATGGTACTTCTTTTTTAAATACATACATAGAAAACACCCAGACCGATACAAACAATCATATTCACGAATATAAATATTTCAAGCAAGGAATCGAACCCGCGACCATCGGAAATAAATCTGTGTGCTAAACATCTAGACCACCGAGGTTAAAAGTAGTCGTAAAAACTCACCCAAACTCCAACTCGTCAGGCGTTAACATGACAATATCATCATCAATAGTCAGCTGACATTCAGTCTCTATTTCGTCGTACGGGAAGAATCTGTTCGACAGCTTATTCTCCTTGGTTCGTATCACCTTCAGGGGCTTGTTGATCACCGGCCACTCGGACGCTATGGAGGAAAAGTGAAAATAAATGCCTGAGATGAAATCGAATGGTCGATTACCGTTGAACGCGCTGTAATTGTATTATTAACGTTTAATAATGAATAAATTATGACTAACATGCAAAAGTGTGTGTGAAGACTGTGTAAGTCAGTGTTTCTCAAAGTGGGGCCCACGCCCAACGGGGTGCAATTTGATTGTAAAGTGGGAGGGGAGGGGGGGATAGATAGTAATTGGTCTAATAACCCCATTGCTAGAAATGTACCATGTCAGATTGAGCTCCATGTGATTATGATTTTGTAAATTCATCTTTTAGGTGTTTTTAAGTATGGCAAGCTGACGGCTGGCCATAATGAAATCGTATTTTTATTATGGTTTTGGCATGGCAATCATGATAGTATTATACTATGGTAAATAGTAACGCATATATACATGAACTGTATGTTCATATGTAACATATGACCCTGGGAGCATGAGGGTTTTTAGTAATGTGGACTGATGACCCCATTGCTAGCATGTACCATGTAAGGTTGACCTCCACGCGATTCCCCCTGGAAACCATCGTGATGAATTCGTAGTGAATTTACCACGGACAGACCTGACCTCATCATATCATCCTCCACGGGTGCCCCGCCAGCGTGAACGGTTAGCGCATTCCGGAGTATACTAGCTGTTCCGGCAAACGTTGTTTTGCCTTATAAATTAAAATCGGTATTAAAAACTAGGTGTTGGTAATGGAAGGGTGAAAAGTTAGGGTTGTATGTATTTTTCAATGCTAAATCATAATAAAATAAATATTTAAAAAATTGTCGAAAAAATTAAAAATTATTTTTATGTGAGCCACCCTTAATACTTAGGGGTATAAAAATTAGCTATAAACCTATTCTGAGACCTACTGAATATACATGTAAAACTTCATAAAAATTGGTCAAGCCGTTTCGGAGGAGTATAAACATGAAACCTGTGTCACAAGAATTGTATATTATATATTACATGTACCTACGTGTACTTACATGGAGGGGGCGCCTTCTTCTGGTTGTTCCATACGACGAGTATTTTGGCAAGGCTCGGCGTCCTCACAAGCTTCCTGACCAGGGTGAAGAGGCTATCAACGCGGTCGTAGGTGAGTATGACCGCGGTGAAGCCTGGCGCTTTGGGCGCTGTCACTGGCAGAAATAGCGGGTTCACGGGACCATACTGCAATAATTATTTATAATATACTAACTGTGCATGCGACTTCTTCAGCGTGGAATAGACGACGAATGACGAATTTCCACACAAACTTTCATCCTCTATTTTATTTACCTCATTATGGGTAAAATTTTTACAATCTCTGAATGTCATATTCATTTATATTTAATAAACAGCCCAAAAAGTAAATTTGAAGCTTCTAGCATTAAAAATGACGATACTTCCGTACAACCTTTCATTTCCCCTTTCAACCCGTTACAACCCTTTTTGCGCATTAAAAAGTAGGCGATGTCCTTTCTCAGTGTCTAGAGTTAGACTGTAGATGTTCCAAATTTAATTTATATCGGTTCAGTAGTTTTGACGTGAAAGCGAGACAGACAGACAAAACTACTTTCGCATTTATAATATTAAAATACACTAGGTTGGCCCATGTTGTTTGTAAGAGAATTTCAGTTGAGTTTCTTTTCAGTTCTTCTCTATTGACTCTGTATACTAGACGGTAGAGAAAAAATTACAATACAAAAAAAATTACGTTCATATGCGGCTAAAATGTCGTACATTAATAAATAATTTTTGATTTGATTTGAGATTGCTTGGAGCGATACGACCGCCTTGCTAGAAGATCTATATTTTTGTTGTAAAACTAAATTAAATTAAAAATAACAACAAAAACGTTTTAGGATTGGTTGATATCACTTAAAAACGTATTTTTTTTGTAATTGCAATACAACAAGCTGATGGCCAACCTATCGGTAAATGGCCTATATACATACTACGGAGTTGACGTCATAAGTGACGCATATGGTATACGTGTGTCACGGATGCTGGATGCATAACATGTAACTAATATTATAAATGCTGTAGTGTGTCTGTCAGTCTGTCCCTTATTTTTATATATATCTACATTTGTGTATATATCCTAGACCTTATTTAATATATTTTTTTGTTATTTTAAATATAACAAATTTATATGTATTTAGATAAAAAACCCGCATGTTAGTTTTTTTTAATGAGTAATGGGGGCTGCCTGCAAACCAGCGCTGTATAGGTCCACCTCATTGAGGTTGTACTTATATCAGCAACAGCTGAGGTAGTTCCTATTGCCAACTTTCAATGATATTGTTTATTTTGTGTCTTATTGTAAATTATATTATTTGAGTTATGTTGGCAATAAATCAATTATATGTCTATCTTATCAATCTACCATTTAGGGACTAAACGAATAAATAATAATAGGCATGAACAATGGACACAGTGCCATCCAGTGCTAGTGCTAGCTAAGCAGAGTTTGTGTTATGGGTACTTAACAAGTGATATATATTTTTGTAAATACATACAAAATACAACCAATCGTACACAAATACGAATGTTTTTACAGTACGAGGAATGAACCCACAACCATTGGAAGTAAAGCGGTGTGCTAAACCGCTAAATCACAGAGGCCGTAAAATATACATAATATAAAAAACACATGAATATAAATTAATATTATTATTATTTGTATATTTTGTTTTCTCAGATTTTATTATTATTATTATATCAAAATGTTGCCTTGACCTACCGTAACTAACATTTAAATAGTTGGACCCGGATCAACGCTGATATGTTGTCTGGGTTATGACATTCGGTTTGTCTTTATCTATCTTGCAAAATATACTTTAATATGTTACAAGTAAACATGAACGCTAATATTGTCCCACTATTCATTGCTACTATTAAACGGTTGCCTGTAGAGATTGCTTCTTACGATAAGATCGCCTATTGTCTGTCCCGGCAAACGTTGTTTTGCTTTAAAATAAAAAATAAAAATAGGGGTTGACTACCCCTAATATTTAGGGGGATGAAAAATAGATGTTGGCCGATTCTCAGACCTACTCAATACGCTCACAAAATTTCATGAGAATCGGTCAAGCCGTTTCGGAGGAGTATGGGAACGAAAACTGTGACACGAGAATTTTATATATATATAAGATATATATCTTTTCTGTTTAATTTTTGTGTAAAATGCTTGGTGCAATAAACAGTTTATAAATAAATAAATAAACTTATTTTTGGGTAAGGTCCAAAATACTGACATATATACAGAAGCCTTGCGTTCTATGTATACATATAAATAAAATTGGAGCGTCTGCTTGTTTGTTAAATTCCACGCGGACGAAGTCGCGTGTACAGCTAGTAATAAATAAAATAAAATGTTTTGTCATTATATACTTAGTTAAGTAGTGTATATAGTTAAGTATAATAGTCCTAAAATATAAACATATTGCCAATTAGCTGTAAGATGATATTGCGTTAATTAAATAAAATAATTAAAAAAAAATTAAATAAGTAATATTACTTTTTTAAACAGAAACATTTAATTTTTGTCGATATTAATGCTGAAGCATTAAGGGGACGTGAGGGCATTATTAGTAGGAATATTAAAAATAATGACTAGATTAAACTTGAACCCTATTGAAATCATCGTTAATTCCTCGTACTTTTCCCAAATTGTGCGGCGTGCTCGCCTCTCCTCGCCTCATATCGTTCGGTGAAGCTGTAAAGGCAGCTGCAGCCAATAGCATAGACCTGAATTCATCCTCATTCCACCATCCTTTACCCGTTTTTTTAAACCATTCTAGTGTTGTTGATCTCAGCTGCCTTTACAACTTTACCGAACGATAGGGGGCGAGTGCAGATGGCACTCCAAACCCGCGGAAGTACTTATGGAGCGTGTGAAGGGCAACTCCTGCCTGACGGATATGACTTTAGTCTAAAGACACCGCTAGGGGGTTCGATCTTCGACTCAGGCCCTCGTAATTTCGGTCCCCGTTCGAATTAAACGGGGGATCGATCCAGTATCATACCAGCGCATTCTATTACAACTGGTTAGTGATAGTAGAATGATAGTCTGTCAGGTCATCGTTACAAATTCATCGCGAATAAAATATAAAATATTAACTCAAATTAACCACAATAATCGCGAGATATCATAAACTCTTAGCAATGGTAACTCTGTTTAGTTCACGGCCACTGATTGAATTATGTCCTTTTGATAAAAATGCAATATACCATATGCTGAAAGCATATATCCCGAATTGTATTTAAAAATGAAACTATATTTCTGTAATCATGTATAAGCTCATTCGAAAAGAATAAGAGCTGATTTCTTGTCAGTACTTCTCGAAGTTCGAAACCACTCTGAACTGACGGTAGATTTGACTTATCATAAGAGTGTGTAATAGACCTACATGAATAAAGTTACATATTTTGATATGATTTGATATAGGGCCATTACGCCCCACTTTTACGTTAATTAGATATCATTCAGATACTTAACTTTATAAGCTATTGGCGCGAGTACGCGGCATATTCGTGTCGTCATTCAATTTCAAAACGTCTAGTCGTGTACATAGAGTTCATTTTAATATCTTTCACATCAACTACATTTTATAGACAATGGGTTTTTACGAATAAATAAAAAAAGAATAGCTACCGCTGAACATCAGGCAGACATATTGTCCATATACATATAAAGACATATGAGTAAGCGTTATTTAAGGAATATAAAAACTTACTAAATGTACAGGCATGTTCCAGTCTTCATACATCCTAGCTGCTAATGGGAACACTTTTTCATTTAATATTTCTAACGTAGTCAATATCATCTTCTCTATACTAGCAAAATATTTATCGTACACCCATCGCAGTTGCCAATACAGCTCGCCGCGTCTCTCCTTACTAACTGAATGTACAATTTTCACTATATTTTTCACGTTATCTTCAGGTACGAATAAAGCTATTCGATTCCAGTCCACATGCGAATTGAACGGCATCACTACAGAGTCTGTGATCACCACTGGTATACATTGAGATGCTAGCACATCCATCAGTATGGCTTGAGTCAGTCTTGCACTACGTACAACAAGGCAAAACATGCCTTCTTTTAACACATCTGGGTAGTTGAACATTCTACCCGTTTTATATTCACAACGTTTATCATAATCTACTCTTCCTGATTCTGATTTGCATGTGTCTAATAATAACAAATCATTAGATGAGGACGCTATATTCTGCAGTACTTCTAAGTAATGTTTTGGTATATTCAACTGGGTTGATATGATTAGATAATTCTTCTGCTCTGGTTGAGAGCTGTCAATCTTCTCTGCTGTGTGACTGTACACTGGGATGGAAACGTCGAAGCCATATCTAAATGACCATGTATCGAAGCCAGCTCCTGCTATAATTGCCTTCCCCGTGTTGAGGTCGACAACGGAATGATAGTTTGGTGCCGATCCAGGCAACATATTAAATATAAGATGGTTCTCACCATTATTCCAGCTGTTAGGAGAAAAATACAGATATATTACTCCCTGATTTAAATTTTATGCAGTCGTTTATACATATAATTAGGAAAAAATCAATAAAATGTGATGATTTTTCCTAATTGTATGTAGATACCTATCTAATTTATAGTATAATGTTAAAAAATATTATCACATTTAAATACTGCATGCCTCAAATAAATCTATTTTGATTTGAGCTTTCAATATTTTCTAATGATTTAATTACAATAGGTTTAATGTAGTGTAATGAACATAGAGTAATTAAGTTTAGTAAACTACTCTGTTGTTATATTTATCGAATAATCTACTCTGTATTGTCTTGGCTATCTCATAAGTAAACACATGATAAACTAAGGACTGGTTTAATTGATGTTTAATGAACAGAAGGAAGATTAGTACTTATATACTGAAAATAAAAAAAACTTCTTAAAATAGTTAAAAGATTAATATATATGGTAAAAATATGATTGTCATCATATTGTCATGAAATTTATCTCTAATGGATTAGTCCAAATTATTGTGAACTGTAAATGTGTGGTGGTGTGGTGTATATTTTTAATCAAAAGTGGAAAAGGAAGCAGCCATTAGCAATACTGCCTTCTCTCGGATACATTTTTGGTTTAAAATTGTTGTTTCCTTCATTGCTTAGTTTGTTATATAAATTGACACAAATTTTTTTTTTGACAGCAAAATACAAACTCAAGACCTGTTTGGCGTGATTTAGGATAATAAACCTACTAGGCTACAATGCATATAAGTCATAAATTTATTATTTGGAGAAACAAATCATTCGTATTTTGTTGCAGTTCTATACAAGCAAGATTAAGTAATTTTACTATTCTTATAATATTTTAATAACATCAATATCATATCAAAACACAAAAACTTACAGTCATTTTATTTTGTTATCAATTGCATAGTTTCAATAAATAAGTATTCTAAATCCTTATGATTTTTTTTTATTTCATATTTCAGTAAAAGCCTTTTAAATATATTTATTATTAATAGTATGTGATTACTGGTAAACTAAACTTATTATGTTAGATTTTTAATATATTCTTTGAAACTTCTTATCTTAAAAATATATGAAGGGAATCTTTTTCTTTTTAGTCAAAAAACATAGAGGTTCATTTTAGTATGTATTTTTAAAGGCAAAAGGTTCAAAGAAGACCATTAGGGACTGTAATTTTAATATTTTAGATAACTCAAAAAAGCATCATATGGAATGTTAAATAAATAAACAATACTTACTATTTGAGAGAATGCAGTGCTTGAGAAACATGTTTATTGGAGAAACTGTTTTGATTTAATGTATCTATACTAGGCACTAACAAACACGCTTCCTCAGGATTAGATGTATAATATTTACTATTTCTAATTGTATCTAATATTACATAAAACTCTCTTGAAAATCGCGAAAAAGCAGTTCCACTCTGAGTCCGATAATCCTTCAAAGGATAAATATATATTGTTATCTTCTCGTGTCCACCTCTGCCGCATCTATACACGTTAAAACAATCCCAGTACGTGCAGTTAGACACCCGAGAACTTGATAAACGCGCATCACTTTGCAAATTCACCACTTCCAATATCGTAGAATCCAAATTAATTGGTTCATGAAAATTTGTCGGTGGGGAACTAGTTGAATATACATTAAACACCAAAATAAACACCAATGTCACCACAATAAACAATAGTAGGCCAACGAAAAACCTACGATACGAGACTTTTCTATACGATGTGTATTTAGTATACTTGCTCGTCTTTATCAGCAACTCTGAAGCCATTTGTGACTTTCCGCGATTAGACAAGCTTTCTAAATTTATATATGGCACCCATTCTAGAGTAAATCAATTATTTCTCATTTAAAATCCTTCAAAATCGGATAAATGCTTGTAACTATAGTGAGAAATATGAAACTCTGTTAATTTAATGAGTGCCTATCTGTCTACATATCACTACATACTCCAGTCAAGTTTGATTTGATGCAGTGACACAGGCGATGACAGTGACCGCAGTTGTCAGTATGACAGTCATCAATTTTCCTCCGTATTTTCACGAATAGACAGCAGTTTTCAATTCGTCGCATCTCGATTACATTTATTAAGATTTATATACGATTTTAATCGATTAACTCCGAATGTGCTTTTAATAAAACATAATACATACAGAGCGATCCAAATATCTGTACCAAAACGAGTCCCAATGATTTCTGACAGATTTAGTTCACATATCGTACGTTATATAAATTTATATTTTGGACTGATATTCCTTTGCCTCAACCATATTTGAAAAAAAAAATAAAAATGATACGACGAAAGTTTCTTGTTGTTTTTCTGTCAGTTTTGTGTTGTGCGTAGTTGTAATTCAGTTTCTAATGGCTTAATTAATTTTCTTATTACTTTCTTTTACTATTCCGATATATTTTGGTTCGAGCTTGACCAAAAATGGCACTGCTACCTCCAGACCCAGTTTATACCATCAGAAATGTTGACAACGTTCCTGTTTATTCACTGGCATTCAGCTTTTTGCCCGGCGGTCTGGAGAGGTTACTAGCCGGCTCCAAAAACGGTTACGTTTATGCATACAACCTTCAGGTAAGTAATAGCCATAATCATAATATTGTAGCCAGTATAATTTTTAAGCGATCGGAATAAATCGATTCTATCTTTCTAGAAGCTGCATTGTAACGTCGCAATTTCTTTGTCTACTACCCTCAATCGTAAATAATTTTAGTGTCCTATAGGAGTAATCTACTTACAACCTACTTTTTTCCAGACTAATCGTGTGCAGCAAAAAATCCAAGTTGGTCAAGCTCCCATATTGCACATTATTCACACAAACACTCACCTCATCACTCAAGAAAAAGGCGGAAAGTACAAAATATTTGCTCTAACAAACAGCGGCTACCAAGAGGAGGCCGTCATCGACACAGACTATCCAGGTTTTTGCCGTTTTGAAGCCAACACAAAACTCGAAACACTCTTTGTACCTGATAGAGAATCAAAAATATATATTTATAACTTTTCTGGAGAGAAAACCGGCAGTTTGGAGCCAGGGCTGTCCTTACCAAAACTAGGGGATCCTATGTGTATGAAATACATTGAATTTCCATGTGACAGACCTTGTCTTGTAGTGGGCTACGAAGCAGGGTGGATCCTGTTGTGGGATCTCAATACTAGTCAATGCATTGGCAAACTGCAAACTAAGGAGTGTCCAATGACAGTAGACTATCACCTTGAACAGCAGAGAGGAATAATTGGGAATGCTTCTAATGTGATACAGATATTTAGTATAGGAAGAAAAGACTTAAGTTTGGCTCTGAAGTTGGACATCACAATTAAGAATCCTGGCATAAATAGAGTCCAGACCCGCTCTGATGGCAAGGTCTTCACTTCAGGAGGCTGGGATGGACATATTCGTATATTTTCATGGTTTTCGTTACGTCCGTTGGTAGTTCTTACAGAACATAAGCAAGCAGTGCAAGATATTGCTTACTCTTCGGAGAAAGTCTCTCTATGGAATGCCAACATAATGGCAGCTGGAGGGCTAGATGGTGCTATAACCCTTTGGGACTTGTATAACAACAAAAATTGATTCTATAATGTGTCTCACACAATATAAGATGAGTAGAATAGCTTTTGACGATCGACTACTTATTTTTGAGTAGAAAAAAAAATATTAATTTGCAACTATAACTCTCAGTTGTCAATTGAGTATAAAATCATGCCAGTATTGCCTTAGATCAGTGTTTCCCAACCTTTTAAGTGCCATGCCCCCACCATAATATTTTTAAAATTCTATATTCTCCCAAATATGTAACATATATAATTTATAACAATAAAAAATTGAATTGTTTACTTAAGAAACTTCAATAGGTTTTAAGAATAGCACCAGCAAAATTGTTAGTGACACATAATTAATTTTAAAAACAATGAAAAATATAATTATAACATATAATTTTAATAAAGAGTCCATTTTCAAATTACCCTCTATGGGGCGAGGGCTCCATGTTGGGAAACACTGCCTTAGATCATCCAAGTAATGCTTTAATTATTTTGAAGATGTTGATTATAGATTGCAATACATATGCCATCGTAATTAGTATGTATGATTTGGATCTCAGCAATGTACAATGTAACTAGAGGCGTACTATGTCCAGCTTGTATGGCCAAGCTGTTAGAATATAAGATAAAAATGTTGAAATATAGCAATGAATATTTTCCGTGAATGATTTTAGCAATGTTTTTCAATGAGTCAAGACATTAAAATATGAAATTTTAAATTTTATTTGTTTCATTGTTAGCATAAGTACAAAAACAAAAGAGTGACTCACCAGAGCCTTACACTTGTGCAAATAAGAAATGTATACTAGAAATAACTACTATTCAAAGTAAATAGTTATTTCTATGAATACCAAGCAATTGCAGTATATTTTATATACCTACATACATATAATATAATGTATGCAATGTACATGTAACTATTTATGAAAATAATGTTTTTAAGAATTTGTAGCTAAGTTCTTAATAGCTACATTAGATGGCGCTGTGTGTTGTTTGTTGTGTAATTTATTAATTACTATCCTGGAACTTCTGCATAACACTTGATATTTATAATTTATTTCGCTCAATTTACATAATATCTTTTTAAATTATAGCCTATGGGCTACTCCAATGTATAGGCTATATTGCTGTAGTTTCATCAAAATACTTTCAATAGTAGTTTTTGTGTGCAAGAATGACAAACATCCATCCATACTTATAAACTTCAGTTAATTAGGAGTAATTATCATCACATTGCTCCCAATTAACAGAGCTAAACAATAACCTCTAGTTTCTTCTCCATTGTAAATGTTGCGATAGATTTGACTTATCATAAATGTCTGCAATTGCACCTACATGAATGGGTCGACATGATGCCGACGGCCACCTTTTATTTTTCATTCAGGAATTCATCCCCACACGACGGTTCCACCTTTCAGAGGAGCTACCTTAGATTGTGGAATGAACTTCCTGCCGAGGTTCCCACGAGACTACACCATGGGGTTTTTCAAGGAGGGTATATTAAGGTTTCATCCAACGCGCACAGGCGTTCATAGGCTACGGTAACCGTTTACCATCATATGGACCGTATGCTTGATTGCCACCATCGTAGTATATAAAAAAAAAGATATTTTGATAAACGCATTTCATGGATGTAACCATTGAGTTGTGAAAACGTTCCAAACAAAACGTACTAACTTTATACAAACATATACCAGTAACTTAAAAGACTTGCTTTTAAATATTTCTATTTGAATGGCTAAGTTAACGGCCAGTCTCGTGGTAAGTATTATAGTAATCATGACCTGTATACATGAACTGCAATACGAAATTACATTCTCATGTGACGCCTCATGAATTTTCACATTATTCCATGATTCTGTATGGTAATTTACAAAGTATGTTAATTACTGGGTCAAATTGATGAGGCAGAAGTGCTCACGAACTTGATGTAGGTTGATGATTCGGATGCATATTCATGTAACGTGTAGCAGTCTGAAATTACATATGTCATAATAGGAACATTATATAATGCTATAATGTAATGGTCTCTGAACTCCAGAACTACGTTGAGGTGTAAGAGTATACCTAATTAAGCGTAATAAATAACCCTGGACAATACACAGAAAATAAATAAATTATAGTTAAAATATCTTGTCAAACTTTTGTGAAGATTTTGCTATTTAAAAACATCAGGCGCGTATTTACAATTCTAATGAAATATGGTATGGGTAGTATCTCGTAGATATACTAAATATCAAATATGCGTAAGGTGAAAGATAAAAACATATAAACTTAGTTATTATTTTATTATAAGACATACAATGAAGTTTAATAAGTTACTAATATCACATTTACAGTGCAATCTAATTCTTATACAATAACAAATCACTAACTTCTGAAGCGTTGCTATGTTCTATCTATTATATATATATTGTCATACATTTTAATATTATGTTACTTGTATGAATTAATCTTATTTCTTTTTTTTTAATAACTTTGCAAATAAATAGTATATCATATACAGCTAAAACAGAATGTGTGCGATGCTGAAATTGTTCACCTTATGTAATTCTATTAAATACTTAATAGATGAATTCTACATAATATAGTGCCATACTAACAAACAGTAGTCCAATAACGGGACCCTTCAAACCTTATTTTTCATAAAGTTAGTTGATTTGTCTGTGTATAAATACAATTTTATAAACCACTTAAACCTAAGACTAGCAATTTCATTGAATATTGAACTCTGTTCGGATTATCATGTTTGTGATATGTATGCTGAATATATTATCAGATATAAGCGAATGATTAATTCAATATAGTTCAAACTTGGACAATTTTCCTCGTTTTCGGAATAAGAACATCGTCCTCGGTGGTCACTTCTACCAATCTTCGTCTTTTTCTCAAAGGTCTACTAGATTCGGAAGGCTCTCTAGGTTTGGTCACAATTTTTGCCATTTTGTTACCTAGCCTTGTTATTTTGAATTTAGGCAACGTTTGTTCAGCATTACCCGTATCTGTAGCATCAGTCTCCATTTTATCATCGTCTTCTATTCGATCGTTTTCATTATTTACTTCAGATATTACAGTGTTAGTGTTATCTTCTAATACCTCAGCGTTATTCTCACAACTATTTACATCTTCATCTTTCCTTTTATCACTATTCATTGTAAAGTCTAAAGGTCCTTCAGTGTCATCACTTTTTACTTCTGTTTTGACTTTATTAGCGCAATGTGCTTGTATAAATGACGTTATTGGTATTGGAATTGGAATTGGGAGTGGTATTGGCAGTACCACTGGATATGGCACTAACACAGTCACAGGTGGAACTTGTCCCAGAGGTGGTGGAAAGTTTAATGGCGGTGGGATTCTAGGCCGTTCATGAATTGGTATACCTGTTCGGGGTAAAAAGTTTAATCTTGGTGGGAACATGTTTGGATGTCTATGTTCATTTAGCGGATCCATGAAAACTGGCGCTGGCATTCCGAACATAGGATTTGGGAAATGCGGTGGTGGGCCAGGGTGCGGGTTGACTGGATGAGGAGGCGAATGTATTGCACTGTTCCCAGTAGTAGAAGGCGATGATCCATCTATTGATGGACTGCATATGCGAAGATCTTGAGCTTTTGGAGTCGATGTACGCTTAACTGTCTGTGATGTGATTGTTGCAGAGCACTTGGAAGTTCTCCGCTTGCGTAGATTCATTTTATTACTCCTCGCATCCTTTTTTATTTCAGGTGACTTCTGAATTGAAGTGCGTTCCTCTGAAGGTAGCTTCGGCTTCATCAATTTTGCAGTAGGAGCTATTGTAATGAGAGGTAGAGGCGATTTTCTATTTTGTGCCTTTTGTGTTTCTGGTTTTTCTGAATTAGTTTGTTTAGCAGATACGCCATCTGGGGTCGGAGAGCCGGACCTTTCGGATATGGGTGACGCTGAGCGACTCCGACAGTTCTTGAGCCACAGTTCAGGTGTAATCAGATTGGAGGATGACGAAGCATTCACCAAGTGGGGATTGAGTTCAAGGTGCGCCTGTGTTTCGCGGCAGAATATGTGCATCTTATACTGGTTGAGGCATTTGTCTGAACAAAACTGTAGCTGTGTGGCGCCATCCTGGAAGATAAATGACATATATCATATTAATGTGTCATAGTCTATAGATAGAACGAGGAACTTGTCTAGAATGAGAAAGTAGTAGACGGTGAATAGGGCCTTTATTTTTTCATTTAATTACTTTATCTATATATATATATATATAGTATACTACCAAATTAACTGCATTCCTGTTTCATTCTAAATGGATGTATACATGACATACAGCGATCGTAATTACGACGGCCAGAGCCGTAGCTCGAACCCTTAGCGATGCCCTCGGGCTAAAGTCTGGCGGGACTTGGCCTTCAACCGCTCCATAAGTCCTTGCGCGGGTTTGGAATGCTATCTACATTAGCCCCCAATCCTCTGGTGAAGCTATAAAGTATTAGAGTTGTTCGAAAAAAAATTAGGGATATGTTACCTGAAAATCAACATAAGCGACGGTATGCCGCACATGCCGGCACCAGTCACAAGTCTTCGCCCTCTTGAAGTTGGCTCTTCGTGACTGGCTGAAGCACAGCTCGGAGCAAAACGTCGCGCCGGCCTGTTGCAGGGCTCCGCTCTCGCTGGTTATATTTTTGTTACACCATGAGCATTCGTCTGTAAACAGAAATAAACGTTTGTTATTGTATTAATTTGTATCGCTCTGGAAACCATCGTGGTTCACTACTAGCTGTGCCCGCGACTTCTTTCGCGCAGCGCACGCAACGGAAGACCTCAAGATATAAATAATTGTAAATACCCGTTTTTCCAACATTTTTCACTGATGTTACACTTCTATTGGTCGTAGCGTAATGTTATATAGCTTAAAGTCGTCCTCAACAAATGGACTATCCAACACAAAAAGAATTTATTCAATTCAAACGCGCTAATCTCGTAAATTCTCTAATTAGAAAAAAAAGTGTTAGGGATGGATAACCCGTTATAGGGGTAAATGTTAGGGGTGGATAAGCAACTTTGGGGTATGAAAAATATCTATATATTGGACGATTCTCAGACCTATTAGAATATGCATATAAAATTTCATAAAAAGGAAGGAAAGGAAGGAGTATAGTAACTAACATTCTGACAAGAGAATTTTATATATAAGATGCTACGCTTATAGATGTACAACGACCCTTGGGAACTGGAAGAACAATGCCTTCGCCACGGAAAATAAGTTCATTTGTTTACATTTAAGACATTTTGTTTTAAAAATCGAACGTCTCAAGTAACCGTCTCCAATTAATTTGCGAATGATATTGAATGAAAAAAAAATACGTTCGGAAACTGAATAGGTTCTCATTACTGGGCCCGATCCATTTACGTCCGAGTGATAGCTCGTTATGCTTATTAATTCGCCTTGTACAAATATAAAATATTACGGACGGACTTAAAATTGTTCTCGAGTTATATGAGCTTCTTCTAATCGAACGTCATCAAGAAATAGAGTATTATATTGCAAAAAAATGTATATAGTACATTTATATAATAAATTAAATGAAAAATCATTCATTCGATTAGCACATTTAAGCCGCTTAAGAACGTAATTTTTGCAGTTCAATATATTCAATCGAGGAGAATAAAGTCAAGTGAATTTTTTATATCCCTATTATTTACTTGTAGAGGTGTCTATGTCTAACATTAAATAAAAATCCCGTGCATTAATATTTATTATTTACATTTATTATTAACAATTATTTACATGCACGAATGTCATTTATCACACTATCTACATATAAAATAAGATCTATTATAAATACGAGAATTTTACACAACTAAACTGCTAAACAAACCTTAACGCAATTTAACGTAACGATAGTTAATATTACGAGGACGGACATAGACTATCATTTATGACGGACATAGTATATTTTATAATAGTATATAGTAGTATAGTATATTAGTATAATATAGTATAATAGTATAGTATAGTACAGTATATTTTATAAATATACATAGTATATTTATCAATCTATTTAAAATTAAATTATAGGCTGAGCTACAACATGTAGAAAGTATAAGTAAATAAATCAAGTAGAATTTCGTTAGCAAGATCAAAAAATACTTTCTAGAATATTTGTCTGACCATTTGTACACTCTAATCTTAAAAATGGCTTATCTGATATAAATTCAGGTTTCGTGAGTGTCAATTAAAACACAAATAAATTATTTTAAACATTAGACGCGCTATTATAGAAGCGACACGTATATAGATAGTGGAATATTTATTTAACTAGCCACCCACCCCGACTTCACACGGGTGTACATGTATTATACATATAAACCTTCCTCTTGAATCACTCTATCTATTAAAAACCGCTTCAAAACCGTTGCGTAGTTTTAAAGATTTAAGCATACATTGGACAGCGACAGCGACTTTATTTTATACTATGTAATGATTTGTGAATGAATAAACGTACCAAAAAGTTCATATGGATGATACTGATCATTGTTTTTATTAATTATATTAAAAATTACATGTCATTATTTTATTATTGCAAATTAATAACCAATTCTAACTTAAAGCTGATTAAAATCCACTACACTGCATCGTGAATAACTATAATTAGGTAAAAGTGTTAAATAACTGAATTGTGAAATAGTAACAATGTAATCTGTTAACTTAAATATAAATAATCCCAAAAATAAATAAATTACATTAATGACTTCAATATAAGCAAAATTTTGATGAACTTTAAATTTTAATCAGTAAGTAATTAAATACACTTAATATAGGTATATTTTATGAATATTTTTTATTAGTAAATCTACGTTATACAAAATTTTCTAAATAATGCATCCCTATATGCAATTACTTTCGTTATGGGTTTGAGCAATATAAACAAATCATTAAATGTAATGCTTTACAATTTACGCGTCATTTTTCTATGAAACATGTTAATGAATTTATATTCCAAGAATAACACGCAAGTATTGATATAATTTGATATATATCTGTGGCGCCCTGTGGTGCTAATTTCCCGCCGAAATCCGGGAGGGTAGTCTATGTAGCGCAAGTAACGTTACGCCCAAATTCATGGAAACGCAGCTGTATTCATACAGGGATATACATTCTTAGAAATTCGTTATACTTAATTGTAAGTAGTAGTATTATTGATATTGTAAAATATGAATCAATAATAATTTGAAAATAATCGATAAAAATTAAAAAAAAACTTGTTAAGGTGAGATTTCTATAATGCGGTAATTGAAGCATAGATTAGGCACAGAACCACAATCTTTTTCCGTTCTACTAGTATGCTGCTTATGAGAACGAAATCTTAAATAATTAATCTATAGAATTATTTGCAATGCCGATATAATGTCTATATTATTTTAATTATAACTCTTTGCCAACGACGGAGATATAATCATCGTTCACAAAGAGAAGACCTTACAAGTAAGATTCCTTTGCCCAAATCAGACTAAAAGAAAAAAAAACAAATAACTGATTTATTCACCTTTATTTTTCTGATCACTTGACTGCTCTGGGCTAGCTGCGTCTCGAGCTCTAGATGCAGCCCACCTTCGTAGCTCAAGCCTCTCGTACCCATACCAGCCCAACAACTCGTTCATGGCTGTCTCCGCAAACTCCTGGAAATCACCAGAAATGAATATAAAACAACAACTTCACATTCTTAGTATACTTGTACAATATTAAAATTAAAAAATAAAATAACAATGGGAGAAAAAGTATGAATCAGTTAATCTGATTCATAGAATAATTCCGTCAGACATACATATGTATGTTTTGCGTAATATATGTATGTTTAATCGTTTAAGCAGCGTACGCAGCGGAAGCACTTTTAAATAATAATAATAATAAAATTAATATTGTTTGTCACATTTTTATTTGCTGCTCCGCTCCTATTAATCGTAGCGCGATGTTATATAGCCTATAACACTTGGGGATAATATACCTTTTAAACCGTGAAATAATTAAAAAAATCTAATAAGCAGAACCGGAGATTCTGCAAACCCCAAACAAACAAACATAAAAACTTTACTTTTTTATAATATTAGTATAGATATAAGCAGACCGAGTCGCGGTAGATAATATACTATTTTAGTTTATGGAAATAATAGTCCAAAGACTTAATATAATCCATTAAGAAAAGATTTCCCAAAACTCCCACAAACCAAACACATATTTACATTCTTGTGGATTACTAACTAAAGTATATAAGATACGAGTGTATATTGTCACATACGTCTGTCTTAATCTTAATATATATCAGCTTAATAAGTATAATATACCTATATGTTTGCATTACGCCACAAAATACGGTCTTTATTTTTACATGCTTACCTTAAATAAAAATAAAACACGATTTATTCAATATAAATGGCTCTTGAATGACCTCCTTACAGTTATTGCCAACGATTACGGTAATCAATTCGTACGTATATAAAAAACGTCGCGATTTAACGACGCAGCTTGTGAAATATCTGTTATATCTGTGCCGTTTAAAAAGATATCGGTTTTTTTCATGGCTGATAATGGAATTATGCACCCGCCTACTCTTACGGTTTACGCTAGCCACCAGTAGAGAATGATAAGGTGAACATGAGGTCATGTCAGTTAGCCTATCGTGACAAATTCAGGGGATTGTTAGTAATGTGGACTGATGATCTTATTGCTAGCAATGTACCATGTCAGGTTGACCTCCACGCATTTCCGCTTAATTTTCTGGTGAAGCATATTCCGTTGCACCACTCCATTATCATCTATAAAAAAGTAAAAACTGAAAACCAGTGGTTCGTCTCGCAGAGTAACGCTCTGTGTTACTGCCTTTGATATTAAAGACACTGAATCAATGTCTCACGCGTGGTAGGGCACATTCTGTACTAAATCTATTTCGTTATATTAATTGTTGGTAGAGTTAAAACAAAAAATTGGCCCAGCTAATGAAGTCTTAAAAACATGAAAGCTTATTAATTCTGTCACTTATAACTTTATGATATATGTACGTTATAATTAATATATTCCTTTAAGTAGGCGAATTTTAATTTTAGCAGTATTACATATACCCGACTATTCATTATCGCCCACGTGTAACACAGATTTTTTTATAACCTCTAATAATTGAGAAGCGTATTCTATTTCATACTACCCACGTTCTTGTAATATATGACTTGTATTATATGGTACACTATAGCTTATGCCTGCTACTTCGTCCGGATGAAGAAATTCAAAGAAAGAACCATTTTCTCGGGCAGGTAATATTAGATCATGATGAGTTAGATGATGATGATGAGTGACTGGACTAGAGCAAGATTCGTTTACAATTATTTAATAAAAACCATGAAATATTTTTTTTTGAGGAATATATTAATTTCGAAATGCTTTTACAATTGTGAGTATTTCTTATGACTGTAGTATTATACAGTCATAAGATTTCTAAAAAGAATGATGCAAACTGCCAACAACAAGATGGAAAGAAAGTAAGTAAGAAAGTATGTCCAAAAATCTTCTAGAACATTCAAGATGTTGCACTTCTCGATCCCCTGACCCGTTCAAACAGGGATAGAAATACGACCCTGTGCCCTTACACTACAGTCGAATCCGTCAAGTTGGAGTTGGACTTCACCCGCTCCATGATAGTTTTTGAAACGAAAATATTTATTTTTAGCTATTCATAATATGCATACCATCTTACTAATATTATAAACGCGAAAGTTTGTGAATATCCATCCATCCAGTTTGTTTGTTACTTTTTCACGCAAAAACTACTGATCGCATTTTAACGAAACTTTACAGTAATATAGTTTATATATCAGAATAACACATAGGCTGTAAATTATATGCGGGTGAAACCGCGGACAAAACTAGTATTCAATAAATATAAAACCGATTATGATCCTTCTTTTTAAAGTTAAACCTTGGGATTGCATAATTAAATATTCTTTCATCAAAACGCTGCATTGTTATTTATTTCTTCTCTTTATTTATTTAGAAGCTTAGTATTACAACAGTGATAGCTCGTCTTAGCTTATAAATTACTTATGGGAACAAAAACAAAAGTCACCGCCGCTGCCTGTTAGCTTATGTCTTTTAAATTACACAACGGATTTTATTGCAGTTTTCAGCAATTTATACAGTGCTTCAAAACGAAGATTTATATGTATAATACATGCGTATTATAGTATAGAACAAGACAAGAAATTCAAAGATTTGTAATGCATCCATGCGAAGCCAGGACGAGTCGCTAGTATTTATTTATCTAAAGACAAACATTACTGATTTAACCTTATATTGTTATACATATAATACGAGAATATTAAGATTCAATAAAATATGACTTACATAAATTGAGTTCATTTTTAAAGTCGGCTAAATAATTTATTTCTCAAAATGTAAATTTAAATTCACGTGGTAATAGACAAAGAACAAGTAACATATAATAAGTATCATGTTCACATAGTATCTGTGAAGACGCCTTCATTACGGCGGCAACTGTATCTCTTTGACACACGAGTATCTAAATCAGCAGATTTAATTAATCTGTGCCTGCACAAGGTTCTATTGTGACAGTCCTGCTACGCAGATGATATTTCAGGGCAAGATGTCCAGAAAGCAGAGATAATTGGACTCCAATTACAGATGCGTCCTTTGACGGCTTTATAATCATGATTTAGAACCTAAAACTTATGTATATATATGTAATAAATACGTACATATATGTATTCTCACGACTGATATCCAAGATGAGGTAGTTAGAGATATTGACAAGTGTCGATTTTTTTATACAGCTGGGTATGGCATGGCAAACGTACTCCTGATTCTACTGTGTAATATTAAGTTTTTTGTGATCCTGTGATATCAGTTATCAGTACCAGCGTATGGTGGGGCACCAGTGGATAAGACGAGCATAAAGTCAGGTCAGTTAGCCCATCGTGTCAAATTCATCAGGAATTTATCACTATATTTCCAGGGGAACCGCGCTGAGGTCAACCTGACATGGTGCATAGCTATGGGGTTATTAATCCACATTATTAACAATCCCTTCAGAATTTGGGTGGACGATCAAATCTCGACATCGTGGTGAATACAACACTTGACATACTCACATTTTCAGTAACCTTGATACTAACGTGAGGGTTAACCAACCAAGAGCCAATTGTCAATTTAGTCTCCGAGATTAAAAAATACTAATTAAGTAAAAAAATTGGTAGATAAGACGTTTATTTGAATTTTTTCAAATTTGACACAATTGCACTTATATAAATGTAGACAATACATAGATCGATATAATATTACCAATAATAAAACATCATGTTTTATTAATGGTAATATTAATAAAATAATACATATAGATTAAATTAAATTATAAAACGAACTATAATACTATATGTTTAAAATACAAACACCAAAACTCAACATTTACATGGCTGGTAGTTTGGTTGGTTTCGTTTCGATTTACCCCCGATGTTGCCAGTGTAGTGTAATAATTATCACTGAAAATACGATATGAGGAACTACGGGGGCTGTAACGTAAAACTACGCCCATTAAACAGACTTTGAACCTTTCCACAAATGATGCATTCGAAATACATAAAATAGGTATTTCATACGCGCATGCCGTATTAATTAGGGAGTGCACCTTTATTAATATTACCGCATATTAATTCATATTGAAACATGATTTTGTTTGATGGATGAGTAAAATTAAATATGATATTTTAAGTAACGTAATTAATTCTTTCTTGAACGTAATGTATATTATGGTATATTATATACATAAAATGAAAGTACCCCGCTGTTTCGTCTGAGTGTTCATTACATTCTTATGTTTTTTTTTCTGACTACTCTAATGGCCTTTACAGCTTCTTTGGTTTGGGTAGTCCAAACCCACGGAAAGATTTATGAAGAGACTGACTTATGAAGAGGCTAACTTGCCCTGACGGATATGACTTTAGCCTGAGGGCACCACCAGTGGTTCAAACCTCGGCTCATGCCGTCGTAACTTCGATCCCCATTTGAATTAGACGGGGAATCAATCGGAGGAGAAGTATTACCTTTCCGTAGGTACTTCTGTACACCGTAATTTCACTGCCTTATGATAGTACTCTTATAATTTGACATATCATAAGAGTCTATAATAGACCTACATGAATAAAGATATTTTGATTTTTTTTTATATCACGCTTCAATCGAAGCAAAGTTTCAAAGCAAGCCGCTTAGCGGCAGAAATGAGAGAGAATCAAATGTAACTAAAATACCTTTATGTGTGTATTTTTTATAATAAGTCAAGTCTACCATTAATTGCGTAGTTAAGCCAAGAAGAGAGACAAGAAATTTAGCTCTTACTCTTTTCGACACTTTCACTTCTCACTATCGACAACTACGAGCCTGACCCTGTTACAAAATAGTCCCTTGATCAGACCAGTGGCCAGACCAGTGGCCAGACCAGCACCTATAATTATTTGACTTTCTTTGTTTGCTAAAATCTTCAAGCTTCATCACTTAATGCTTTCGCTGTAGCTCACGGTCCATAATATGGTATGAAACAAAGATTTTTGCCAGCATGTATATGATGACTAAAATACAAATTGAAATTATGAATAACAATAAAATAAATAGAATTAATGAC